TTAGGAACTTTTCCAAGTTGTTGAAGATGACGATGAACAGTTGTATGGTTTGAACTTGTAACCACTGCCAACTCCTCAACTGATAAAGCAGGATTTTCTTCAAGGGCTGCTTCAAGAAGCTTTTCATCAATTTCAACTGGACGTCCGGTTCGATCTTCATCTTCAAGGGTGAAATCTCCACCTCTGTCTTTTGCAAACCATCTTCTGCAAGTTCTTTCATTCACACATTCCTCTCCATAAACTGAGTGAATGTTTCTAGCCGCTTCGGCTGCTGAGTTTCCTTTCTTGAACTCATAAAGCATTATGTGCCTCAAATGATTCTTGGGTACTTCCATGTTAGCAGGGTTTTAATCAAACAAATTTTAATTTTATTGTTCTGTGAAATAAAATTTGATCAGTTTAAATGCATCTAAACATAAAAATGATGTTCAGCTCCATTAGACATTATAAAATACTTTTTAAATTTCGTTCATTTTAACAAAACGTTAAAATTCGGACAGAACTTATGGGGTGACCAGATAATTTGTTTTATATCAACCAGACACATATTGAACCAAAATTTTTACATCTATATATGGTTACTACATTTTTTAGGTAGGTTATGGGCGATGAATCGAGTCGAGAGAAAGAAAAGAAAACGATCGTTATATCTAACGTTTGATTGACAGTAAACTGTGAAAAAAAAAAAACAGATCGTAAACAGAGAAATAATAAAAATTTTTTTTTCAATTTTGACCAAGGAGAAAAAAAAATCGAAAAATAAATCAATAGGAATTTTGATGAAATTTGTTTTTCTTTTAAAGAAAAAAAAAAAAATCAAAAAAAACAAAAAAAAAAAAAACTGAAAAAATATGCAGACAAAATATATATTTGATGTTGGAAGACAATTTTTCCGAAAATTAATAAATTTTCATTTTTAATCATTTTTTGAATAAAGAATTATTTTTAAACATTTTATTATTTTTTTTTTCTTGTTTTTCATATGAATTCGTAACCTAAATTTGTAGATTCCAATTTTGAACAATGGATAGGATGTATTTTTTCAAAATATTATTTAAATCATCTTATATAAAATTTCATCCTTATTTTATTTCTTTATTTATATAAAAATGGAAAATCTCCAGATATTTTTACTGTAATACTACTACAAGTGGATTTAAAAGCCAAATTGAAATGGAAGATAGATTAAATTTTTGAATTTGAATAAGAATTGACATCATTCTTCATCTAATTTAAAAAAAAATTCAAGATAATTTACTACTATTTATACTATTTTTAAATAAAGCACATTGAAATGAAGATGAAACATTTACTAGTAAAAAAATGAATAAAAAAAATAAATAATCTAATAATAATAATAAAATTCCAGATAATATTACTATTATATATATATATATCTGGAAATAAAGCAAACCTGAAATGAAGATGAAAGAAATAAAATATACAAAAAAATGAATCTGAAAAACAAAATTCAATAATAATACCAAAAAATTCCAAATAATATTACTACTAATATTTTTACTAGTGGAAATAAATTTTTGATTTGAAGATGAAAAAAAATAATAAAAAAATGAATAAGAAGGTTGAATGGCTTCATTTAAGTTTAATAAAAATAATATTATAATTTTAAATAATTGTATAAAATAAAAAACAAATTCGTAATTTTTATTTTTGAACTGCTGATGGAATTAATTGCCTCAATATTGCATAATAATAAATTAATTTTTGAACTTGATAAAAATGAAAAGAAACGATCTGAAAAAGCAAAAATTTTAATAAAAATTTTGTATTCATTATTTTTTCATTGACATTTTTTTTTCAATAAAAAAAAAATGATAGAAAAAAAAAAAAATCTTAAACAAAGAGATATTTTTTAAAAAGTACAATTTAAATAAAAAAATTAAAAACACTAAAAACAAAAGAAAAAAAAGACAATTTTTATCCAGAGTTTATTGAAATTTTTTAAATGTCCAAAAAAAGCACGATTGATAAAAATGAAAACAAATTTTAAAAAAAAAAAATTGAAAATTTCATTAGAAATGTTTCATTTATTTACATACTTAAATATGTAGTCATTTTCTGAGATGATGAATTTTGAAGAAAAGGAAAAAATTGCTTTAAAATATAAAATTCATCTATATTAATGCAAATAAAAAAAAACAGTAAAAAATCCAAAATGTCAGTATCTTGACAATTTTATAAGCTCAAAAAATATAATCATAAATAATAAAAAATTTCTAAAACTTGCAATATATCAAAAAAGGACTTTTTCCTTATTTGATTTTAAAAAATTTTTCAATTCAAATGGAACTTTTGTTAAGCTATTGATTTTTATTATTTTTGGCTGGGCCAAATACAAAAAATTTAAATATAAAAAATATATATCTTTATACAACATTCGATATATTAATGGATTTGAAAAAAATCAAATTCCTCAAAATTTGTTGGCATATATTAAACAATTTTCGAATCAAATTCAATTCTTCTTCAGGTTTTGGAATGTCGAAATTGAACCATTTATTTCATTTTGCTCCATAGACTGTTAAAAAAAAAATTGCCAAAATCTAATGAATGTCAAAATCAGTTATTTTTTGGTTAATGAATAAACCAGAGATTTTTAAATCTTAAAATCACTGAATTGACGAATAACACTGGATGAATCCTTCTTGTTTCACTCATCAAAAATTTGGAAAAGGTTAAAAACAAAATAAATATGACAGGAAAATAAAAGTGTGAAAAAAGCTATTACGAAAATAAATGATGTTTCAATTGATTTTGAGGGAGGGGATAAACAAATGGTTTCAAAATTAAATTTTTTTTAAAAAAGAAATAAATAAAAATTAATTTCGATTTAGATGAACCACTATTAAATCCCATCCTGTGAAAAAATAAAGAAAATATAATAAAATTTATTGGACTTTGATTAAATTTTAAATTAATTTTATTTCTTTTTATCTTCCTTTTGATATTATATATATATATATATATATATATATATATATATATATAATATATATAATATTTTTTTTTTTTTTGTTTTTTTTAATTTTCTATTTTTTTTGTTTTCCAAATCTTTCTTTCAATGTAAAGTTATAAAAAAATTTGGAATGAATTGATAAAGGGAAAATTTTAACAAAATTTTTGGAAAAAAAATTATTAAAAAAATTTAAGAGGAAAAAAAATAATATTTAAAAATTTTCATAAAAAATCCTTATTTTCACGATTTGATGAATAAAATCAAAAACGAAAAGTAAGTAAACTTTATTAATTTTAAAATTTTTTCAGAAATTTTACTATCAATTTTTATATATATATATATATATATATATATATATATATATATAATATATATTTAAAATATTTTCACATTTTTTCAATTTTTTTTTTTTTTTAATTTTTATATAATATATAAAAATTTTCCAAAAACTAATCTTTTTCAACATTGGGTTAAAAATTACAATAAAAAATTTCAAGGGAAAAATGAAAAAAAAAAAAAACGGAAAATAATTAATTTTTTATGAATTAAAAAATTTTTAATAAACAGGTGTTTCAATGTTTGAGATTTACAATTGAAATTAAACAAACCTATCGGTCGCAAATTTGAAAATCCGGTTTTAAGTTTAAAAAATTCATTTTTGCAAAAATAATTATGCAATATAAAAAAAGAATTTTTTAGGTTTTTAATATATTTGAAAACGATTTGCATAAAATCTGTACGGTTTTTGTTTATTTTATTTCAATTCTTAAGAAATATTCTTAAATTTTACCAATACAGTGAATTTTAAAAAAATAAACAAGTTTAATTAAATTTTTAAATCACAAGATTTAAAAAAAACTATGGGTTTGAAAAACATTTAAATGATAATTGACAACAAAATAAGAATAATCAAAAAGAAAAAAGAAATAAATAATAAAAAATAATAAATAAAATAATACTTTTAAATTTTTGCAATATTATAAACTTATTATAAAACCAAGAATATTTATATAGCTTTATTTGAGAATACTATCAAAAAAAATCTGTTAAATTTTTCAAAACTTCAATTTTGTAAATTGAGGAATTTGGACAAATGTTCGGCGTTTAAAAATTTTTTTTATGCGTTTAAATTCAGATTTGAATAAAAAATGAAAAAAAAATAGAACAACATGATATACATTAAAAAAATGGAAAAGAAAAATAAAATTTCAGTTTTTTAACATTATTTCTTTTGGTTTTAAATATAAAATATCTATCCAACAAGCCATATTTTTATATAAATTGGATCGTCGATCTTCAATTAATTCGGAAATAAATGATGGTCGAAAACGATTTTTTTTAGATTAAATAGAATATTTGATAAAATAAAAAAATTTTATGATATTTATATAATTATACATATTAAAATAAAAACAAAATTTAAGACGATTTTATTGGGATCTTAAATTTATTTCATTTAATTAAAAAGATTTTTTTAATTTCAAAAAATAAAATTTCAACAAAAAAATTAAAAAAATGAAAATAGAGTTTCTGATAGTTTGACAATAAATGCTGATACATTTTTTTGTTTTGAAAATTGTATAAAGAAATACTTTTGAATGTCTTTTGAAATAAAAAATTTTACACCAGACGTAAAATTGGAACTCACTATGAAAATAAATCGGATTAATTGAAAGTGGAAGAAAATTGTCTATATTTTCCAGAATGAAACGATTTTCCATGCTTTTTGTTTTACAACAAAAATGATTTTAATAAAAAATGGAAAAAAAAAAAAAAAAAAATAAAAAATGAAATTATTTTTATTCAAAAAGAGAATAATTTTGAACATATGGAAAAATTAGAAATATAGATCATTGTATACGAAAGTCTTCAAGGAAATTCAAAATATATTCCTAATATATAATAAAGATTCGTTTGAAAATTCATAATTATAAGAATTCTCAAATAATATGAAAATAAATAGCAGAGTAAAAATTTTATAAAAATTGATTTGATTTTTAAGAAAAAAGAATGGATAGATAACATATAGATAGATAGATAGATATATATAATGAATTAGATGAAACGAAATGATAATATATAGATAGATAGATAGATAGATAGATACAATAGATAAAAAAAGATAAGATAGATAGATAGATAGATAGATATATATATAGATAAATATCATAGATAGAAAGATAGATAGATAGATAGATAGATATAGAAAGATACGATAGATAGATAGATATAGATAGATAGATAGATAGAAATATAGATAGATAAGATGGATGGAATGAAAATAGATACAGATAGATAGATAGATAGATAAATAAATAGATAGATAATAGATAGATAGATGAATAGATAGATCTACCTATACCTAGATATATAGAGATATAGACTTATAGATAGATAAAATAGATGGATAGATAGATAGATAGATAGATAGATAGATAGATAGATAGATAGATAGATAGATGAATAGATAGATGATAGATAGATAGATATGAACAGCTCAGATAGCTAGCTAGCTAGATAGATAGATAGATATGAAGCTTGATAGCTAGATGGTTATGGACTTACTGTGATAGATAGATAGATAGATAGATAGATAGATAGATAGATAGATAGATAGATAGATAGATAATGAAGAGACTGAGTTAGATAGATATAAAAGATCTGAGATGTTTCCTATGTCTTAATAATCGAACCTATATCCCTATACTAAAACCGCTAGTATATTTTGACGTGCTTTTTACCGATTTCTATAGGGGGAGCGTTTCAGTTAGCAAAGTCGATTTTATCCTTGCTAAATCGGTAAATTTTACGTTTAGAATATTAGGATGGTTCGGTCATAGGATATTTAGGTTCGTATCCGAAAAATGTGAAGGATTACATATTTTCTATGAAATTTTCTCGGATATTCAGGGTTAAATAAATGTCGTTAATACTGTTTATTATAAACAGAGCATTTACATAAATATTTGTATGTACAAAAAAAGAATATATAACATAAAAATGTGTTAAAATCTTTGTCGAACTTTGTCCATTTCTTAAATATATATATATATATATATATATATATATATATATATATATATATATATATATATATATATAGCAAATATATGGATATTGATCCGACAGTATGAAGAAAAATATATACGGAAAAAAACAAAAATTTATATACAATTATGCTGTTTTAATGTTAATATGTTAATATTTTTATTTGTAGGAAATAATCTTCAGGAACCAATGAATATTTAAATTGAAGATGGTTTATGGATGAAATGGTTGAAACAAATTAGCATTAAATAAGCATAATTGTATATAAAATTTTTGTTTGTTTGTTTATATATTTTTCTTTATATTATATATATATATATATATATATATATATATATATATATATATATATATATATATTCAGTTTGATTATTATTAAATATCAAGTAGGAAGTATTTAGTGTTTTTGGTTTGAAGGAAAAAAAAAATTATTGTGGTCATTTGAAAAGTATAAATTTTATATGAAAATATATACAAACGCTGTGTCATGGCTGGTTGACAGACACCGTTTAAGGGGAGGTAACTAGGTATACTGTGGAAAAATTCCGGACTTGTGTAGTTGCTAGTTAGAGAAAAACTATTAATGACAAGCGCTGACATTCGGATGGCTACAACAATTTTTGTCCTTCACAACCATGAACACTAAATTTTATATATTTATAATTAATAATACCCTGATGATGACCTAATACTATGTCGAAGGTTCTTTTAACAACCGCATAAAAATGCTTGTCCGCGAATATGAAAGAATCTTATCGAATGTCTAAATTATTTAACAACGAAACCTGTGCGAATGAAAAAATATAAAAAACACACACATATATATATATATATATATATATTATACATTAATTGATTTAAAAATGTGTTTTGGATGAAAAAAAAGCGAAAAAACATATATTTTAAATCAATTAATTTATAATATTAATGCTCTGATACCGGATTTTATATCTTACTGTTCTTTCTTTTTATTTATATACATATATATATATATATATATATATATATATATATATATATATATATATATATATATAATAGTAATATAAATATAAGGAATTATACTCATTGAAAAACCTAAGGAGTTTTGTTTTAAATGAACAAACCAATACCCAAGGAAAAATTGAATAAAAGAACTAAGAACATGAAATTAGGCGAAAACAATCGTCCATAATTCAAGTTCAGAGTCCAAAAAAAAACCCACCAAAACGAGTAAGGAAAATAAGGAATAAAAAAAAAGAATAGAAGAACATGAAATTGAGGCGAAAAAACGATTTCCAGAGTTCAATCGTCAGATTCCAAAAAAAAGAATGACGATTCCAAATGAACGAGTAATTTTTACGTAAAGTGCTCAATATACGATATAGTGTAAAATATAAATAAAAAGAAAGAACAGTAAGATATATAAGTTTGTTCTTATAGATATTTTAGGGAAACAAAATAGTGCTCAATGTAAATTTACTAAACATTAATATTATATTTTAATTGATTTTGGTTTTTCGCTTGAGGATGAAATGGAACTTTTTTTGTTTTTAATTTAATTGCAAAATTAAATTGGGGCTTATTTTTAGCTTCTATTTTTGAAACATGGTTGAGAACTGTTTAGTGAAAAAAAAACATATTTTAAATCAATTATATATTATATATATATATATATATATATATATATATATATATATATATATTATATAATGTTTTATATCAAAACTTGAAAACAAAAGATTTTTTTTAAAATGATCATCAATTTTTTGAAAAAAATGAAAATAAAAATATTTGTATTTTTGATATATTTTGTATTAAACCTTAAAATTTTGAGGGGGAGAGAGAGCATAAAGTTTTGATATTGAAACATACAAAAAAACTTTTCGGAATTATATATTGATGACCGAAGAAATAGAATTTTTTTTCAGAGAAAAAAAGAGAGAAGGAAGTTAAGATAAAAGTTTTATTTTTTTTTAAAAAAGATTTTAGAAACAGATTTTTAGAGACAATATTTTGAAATTTTTATTTTGGGGGTTTATCATTATAAACCAAATATAAAATTTGAATGTCGGCATAGATTTTTTTAGAAATTTAATTTTCATTTTTTTGTAATAAAATTTTCAAATTAAAATATAATTTTAATTAATTTTTCAATTAGAAAATATTCAAGAAAATATAAAATTTTTTTTTTAAAATATATTTTATTCTAGTAATCTTTTTTTTTTAAACCATATAAAAATATTAATTGAACATTCTTTTTGTTTGATTTTTTACATTCATGAACTTAACTTTGAAATTTTTAATGATTATAGGTTTTTTCATTTTTAAACAGAAAAAAAATAACCGTAGGGGTAATACGATAATTAAGAATTAAAATCCTCTGAATAGACTGTAAATTAAATAAAAAAATATAAGACGAAAATTTATGGATTTTATCGTCCTGGAATAAAAATAACGGATGTATATAATTTTTCATAAATATATATATATATATATATATATATATATATATATATATATATATATACCGTCGACATACAATGATTTATAAAAGAAAATACAAAATCCTAGTATTTTTAAGAACGATTACTGTTTTCGAAAACATTTTTTTAAAAATAAATTTAAATTTCCATAAATATTTTCGTAAGAATCGTTATGAATTATGTTTAATTTGCATCCGCGTAAAAAATTAAGATAGATAAAAGATAGATAGAAATAGATAGAAAGATATATAGTCGATTTTTTATCCGCGTTTTTTTAAGACGATAAATGCTGCATAGAATCTAATATTGGATAGATAAAATAGATAATTCAGTTATTTTTAATAACAAAGACATAGATTTTGAATGTTTTTTGATAGAGAGATAGTTAGAGGATAGATAGATGTTAGAAGAATATAAAATTTAAATAAAATTTAGGATTTCCTTTTTAATTTGAAAATTAAAAACCAGTTTTGCGAAATTTTTTCTTATCGTTTCAATTTTTGGCGGTTTGACGAATAAATTATTTCTTCAGTAAAGGAAAAGACAATAAATGCCAATTTATATTTTTAATTTTCTTAATCACGTAAACCGTGTAGGGGGGACATTTATAAAGCATTTTAAAAGAAAATATTTGTGGAAAAGAAAGGGAAAAATTCATTATTAAGACGAAACCAATTTTTTTTGCGTCAGATAAACAAGAAGATTAATTAATTTATTTCGGATTTTGTCGAGGTCCTAGAGATAAATGAATTAAAAAAAATTGAAATCAAAAAATTCAGTGGAATTCAGATGTCAAGGAATGCGTCCGAAGATCCTTTGAATAGAATTTACAACAAAGTAAAACGTTTTAAAATAAAAATTTCGTGTGAGCTCCTGATTGTTAAAAAAAATCGAACGCTTAGATTCAGGTTTTGAATCAAAAAAAAAGCCCGTCCATAAGCAATAATTTGAAAAACCTTACAATAGAAAAAAAAGAGGTAAGTTTCAGAAAGGTTTTGTACAAGAAAATAATTGCTTTCGAATTGCAAGTGTAGGAAAAACCCTTGATTTCAGTTTTGATCTTGTCGAGGTCTCCAAACGATCAGCAGGGTTTTATAGACCATATGATGGTAATACATGTTCAATGCATTACGAATGGGAGGTTTTAATTTAATTTGCAGGATTTTTCAAAAAGTTTTTCTTTTTCTTTTACCAATCAATAAATTTTTTAACCAAAAAAAATATTAAATTTCAAATGAATGTAATTTTAGAAAATCATCAATTTTTAGAATGATGTTATTTATTCAGAGATTTTAAAAAATTGATATAATTTTGGAGATAATTTTTAAGAAATAATTTGAAAAAACATTGGAAAATTAATTCCATTTTTCATTTTTTTTCCATAGAAAAAAAAGAGATCCTATCTTAAGAATTTCTTTCATTCACTTTTTTCACCTTTTTTAGAAATCTTATCTTTAATTTATTAATTAGAAAATTAAATATTATTTATCGCATTAAATTATTTTAAATAAATTTTCGCCACAGGTTTTTAACGTAATTTAACAGTTAATTTTAAAATAAAAATCCAAACATGGCGGAAAAACCTATGCAAACGAAAAATTAAAAAATTTGAAAAAAATTTAAAAACGATACAATTTCAGATTTTATGTAAAAATTTTACGGAAATTCAGTCTGGAAAATATCAAACAGAATGAAATAAGAATTGTTTTTTAAATAGTGAGGATCGAAAAAAATTTATTCGAATTTAAGAATTTTGTTAATAATAGCTTGACAAATTGTTAAAAATCATGAAATGTCGTCGAAGAAAAAGAAATTTGGTTTTTCTACAACTATTAAGAAAAATTTTTATTTTTATTAAATTTAAATAATTTCATGCGGGTCGAAAAAATTTTAAAAATTCGCGATACAATCTTGATGCGATAAATTTTTTGAAATTATAAGTTTGAATTTTAAAAAAAATTTTAAAATTTTAAAAAAAAAGGAAGATGGAATTTTTAAAAAGGCATATTTACTGAAGCGCCGAAATGAGGAAGAAAAAATTTCAGAAATAATTTTTTAGAGGGACCTTGAAAATAAAAACCACGTCGCGAATGAAAAATTAAAAACGTTGATCCAATATGAATTCGTTAAAATAGTCCGAATAAGTTTTATAGAAAAATATTTATTAAAAATATAAAAAAGGTGTTTCAAACAGTTTTTTTTGAACAAAAAAAGTTGAGGAAAATAAGAATGAATAATTAAAAATCGTCAGTCGGATTTTTTTTCAGAGAAAAAGTGCCCTTTTTAAAAAAACACCATTCAAAGATAAGAAAAATGAATTTAATTTTTCAAAATTGTGAAGGTTTCTTTTCATGAAAAGCTGAAAAGAAGGGGGATCCAATAGTAAGGCGACAACTTATTTAATTTGAACGAATTCAGATAATACAAAGAGAATTGATTGTTATTTATTTGCCATATTCATCTAAATAAATATTGCAAAATTCATTTAATTTTTTCTGAGCGTATAGGATACAAAACAAAGGCAATTTCTTATTAGCACATAAATCATCGAAGGATTTAATTCATGGCGAAATTAATAACAGATAGTCCAATAATATATATATGATGATCTTTTCAAAATGGTTTATACAAATACCACATCCCAAGATATCAAATAACGAAAAATCCAAAGATAAGAATTTTATGGAAAATTTTTTTATAGTTTTTTTTTTTTTTTTGATTGTTTTTTTCATACATAAAATTATTTATGATTTGAAAAAAAGGAATAAATTATTTAAATGAAAGCGACATTATCCATTGTGGATCGTTCAATACATCTTTACTATGATATTTTGACATGTATGTTAATATATCTTTTCCATAACATCGAAGGTATTGATAAAAAATTGAACAGATGTCTTTTAAAATATTAAATATAACAAAATTATATTAGAAAAAACTTAATTTTATTGATCATCAATTTTTAAATATAGATGTCAGAGTCTTTCGACAAAATTTTATTATTTTTTAGCTTTTTTAACATTCAATTTTATAAATATTATATAAATTTTAAATTTACAAATGAATATTCTTATCTGTCGCCTTTTGTGAAAATATTTATTTAATTTTATAAATTTCGATCTGAAGTTCTAGAAT